GCTCGCGACCAAGACTGGCAGCCGCGCAAGGACACGGTGGGGCAGACTACAGCGGACTGACCAAGCATAGGACCCATGACAACAGTGGTGGTGGTAGAGTGGCTAGACCCACCGGCGCGGCGTGCATGCATGCGCGAGCGTGAGCGTGAGCCAGGGCGTGGCACGGCGACCGTGGCCCGCAGCGCGGAGCCAGTGGCAGGACCGGCCAGCACGGTGGCGCGCATACGGCGTGCGTGCGCGGGCGTGGTGGGTGAACCAGCGCTGTGCACCGAGCCGAGGCAATGGTGACCGTGTCCAAACGCAGAAACCGTGTCGTGCACGCTTTTTAAAGCGGCCCTAAAACCCAACTCGATGATCCAATTGCTAAACCAGTTTTTCTACACTCAAGAGGGTACGTTAAACTACTAAAACAAGCCCTAATACCCTACCATTGCTTAACCCAAATTTCCTACAAAAATTGTCGAACTTAGCTTCGTCGAACCATTTTTCGACTCACGAAAATTAACAAAGTTCTTATCGGTTTCGCGTCGAATTCGATTTCCAAGCTATCAAGTATGTTAGCTAGCGAATCCCATTCTTGACCGCAAGTATTTCACTGCCACCTATGAAGTTAGTACTACCAACTTTATTAAAGTGCCGCATATGCGTTCTATAGCATTTTCGTTCAATAAAAAATCGTCTAGAACTCTAAGCGATATAACGCGACATAAAATATAACTTCCGTTTCGCATTTCCGATAAACGTTTCAAGTCACAGGAATTTATTTACACATTATATTTCATACACTATCACATAAACATGATGCATATGCAATGTTTTAGCAAAAATTGTATAGTGTAACATCGAGGGTGTTACATAGGCTTGGGAGTATTTATAGCCCCTTTGAAAAATTAGCCGTTTTTCTAGCCATTGCCGTCCAGTATGTCCGGTATGACTTGCACTGCACCAAGGGTAACTGAGTAAAGTATCATTGTAAGGCGTCGGAACTCCTGACCGTTGGAACTCCTGACTCACGTCGGAACTCCCGACCCTTAGCTCATTTGAAAACTTGCCACTGGACTCTGGTCGTCCATACCGGACACATCCGGTATGACCAGGACAGTGAACCCTCCAAGTCAGTTAGGTGTCGGGACGCCGGAACTCCCGATGATTGCCGGAACTACCGACCGTCAGAACTCCCGACGAACCAACCCAAGAACACCAAGTATTAGTTAAGCGCGAGACGTCGGAACTCCCGACGATTGCCGAAACTCCCGACGAACCAACCCAAGAACACCAAGTATATTACCGTGGCTAGGCAAATACCGGACACGTCCGGTATTGTCAGACCAGCAAAAACAAGTTAGCTCTTTTGTCTCTCAAACACTCAAAACTCACATGGGTTGGCATGAACACTTATGAATGATTATCTATAACAATGATGCATCCCTTATTAAACTCAAGATAAAGGAAAAACAAATTTATACCGCTTGAGTTGATCTCTTTTGAATTGATGCCGTGTCTTTCAATCTTCATTAAGTGAGGGTGCCAACATGTCGATATTGATCTTTTTACTTGAGCATAGCCATCTTGAGCATGTGACTTGATTCCATTCATAAAATATGAATAATTCCAAATGTATCAAGTCACTTCCATCAAACACTCCAATAGTGATTTGATCCTCCACATCAACATGACCATCATAGCTTAATTAGTACCTCAACTAAATGCAAGTAGTTCCTTCTTCACCCTAGCTAAGTTCTTCGGCCGCCAAGCCGTCGCTTGCCCTTCACCCTTGCTTAGTACCTCAAAGCCTTTCCTTGCCATCTTCACCATCTCAAGCCATCAAGTCACATCTTGTGTTGAATCATCCATTCATTTGTATTGTTATCTTTTTCATCTCAATTTAGCAAGCTTCAAATATGAGACCATTCCATATGCAATCCCTCATGTCTCATTAATTAATTCTTACCGAGCTTGCTTTCACATAGTACATGGAAATCCCACAATAAATAAGCCTTTGCATGAATTCCATTTGCATTGTTGTCTTGTGTTTGAACTAGATTGTTTATAAAACAACACATCATTTTGGCTTTCATTAAGTACCTGTGAGATAACCTATTACCTGTCCATACTTAGCAAATGGATTAGACCTTTAATCACGTTGTCATTCAATCATCCAAAACCCACTAAAGGGCTAGATGCACTTTTTCAAGTGTTTCAGATGTTTGTTTCAAATGCTTCATTTGGTTGTTTCTGAAGTTGATCTGGTGTTGCAGATGTTGTATACTCGTATGTTTCAAGTGTTTCATCTATTTTCAATCGTATGTTCCAAATGTTTCATCTGAATGTTTCAAAAGTAGACCTTGTGTTGTAGGCCGCTATTTGCCTGCTACTACTGTGCATCACCGTGGTTCATGTGCTGGCGCCTGAGGCCTGCAGACGCCTCCACAACGCGCATCCACAAGCAGGGCAGGTGGGCGCAGGTCACGATTTTGCCGTGCGGATGCTGGATGGGCATAGGGATGCTGTTCTACCGTAAGGGGGCTCGGGATAGGCGCGGACCACAGTTCTAGGCGCTGGCGCTGGTTTGGAATGGGACGGAGCGCGTGGTATGCGATGCGGGCACGGGGGCACGGCAGTTGCATCCGGACGCTGGCCTGGGGCCAAACGTCCAGCGCTAGCCTTACCAAAAAAAATACTTATGTAGCTGAACACCTCCACCGATACGGCTGTTGCCAGTCGGGCACAATGACATTGGGTCTAACTAATTCAGGATGGGATTTTAGGTATCAGGTTTTATGTCCACTTCCCGAAAAAGGCGGCAGAGCAGTTGTGATCAGCGGTGGATGACGAGCTTCAAGGTCACGACAATAGTGGCATGAATGGAGATGCGGCCAAAGCCAAGCGAACACGGGGGCTAATCCATGGATCCCGATCTACTCACCATTCACCGATCCAACTAGCCTCAACCATTATGTGACCAAAACTAAAAGATAAAAGATTTGTTCCCCATTTTCAATTGATTTTTTTCATAGTTTCAGTAATCCTTTTTGGCTAGATTTTTGTATGTATACTTTAGGTAGAGGCCCAACCCAGCCCTGTGGTGCTCTCGCCATGGGAGACGACACGGGTGGCAGCCCCCACCCACCACCATAGGCTCTCTCCCTCCTTCCCCTCCCCTAATCACCACTGGAGCTAGCTGCCGGAGGCTTGGCAGCCACAATGATGCGGGTGACCTGGCCAAAGATCTCCGATTGAAGAATGTCCAAGCCACATACACACAAGAGCAAATCAGTAAATGTATACTAAATCACACCTCAACCTCAGTCCCTGTCTAGCACTTGACTTTTTTTTAGACTCACTGCTCCTCTATTTATTGATTAACAGGAGAGTAGGAATTGCAAACGCCTTCTGACGGGTTCAAAAACTAAATAAATCTACCACTAAACTCATAGATGCCACTCTTTGCTAGACCATCAGCATCCCCGTTGGGCCGTTGGACTTACGACTCTCGTGAACAAACTTCACTTAAACAAACCCTAGGGATACCTACTCCCTCTCCGAAGGCAAGCCACTACTTCCATCAATTCCAACTACGTTGCTCCCTTTACTACCAACATCGATGCCCCCAGGAAAGCTCCATTCTCATCCCGTGCTATGCTTTGGCGCTAGTCTTATCACTTCCAATTCCTCCATAAATTGAGCAATTGAGGCCATGTTTGCAACGGAGGATTTCTAAAGGAATTGTGGAGGATTGGCATTCCTATGGAAAGGAATACTGTAGATACATTTGGAACATAGGAACACAGCTCTCCTTTCCATAGGAAAGGAAGGCATCTGTCCACAAAATGTAGGAATCAAAAAATCCAGCCCAAGTTGAAGTTTTGGCGGAAGACCGAGACAAAGCTGAGAGAGAAAGAGAGAAGAAGCATGCATAGTCTGAGATGGGCACTCAGCGCAGTCTCCCTGCTTCCACGGTAGCTAGAATGAGTATATTAATAATTAATAAAGCATTCCATGGTAGCTTCCACATGAGTTATATGTATTATGGATTCCTGTGTTCCAAACACCACTCTATCTCGTTTTTCTTTATTTTTCCATTCCTCTGTTTTACAACTACATTCTTTTCCCTTCCTATGTTTTTTTTAGCAACTCCTCAGTTTTCATCTATTCTTGCGTTTTCGATTCCTTTGTTCTAGAAGGGCCCCGACTGGTTGAACCAAGTGCAGTATGGGCCAAATTGGTTCGGACTTCTCTTGTGCATGTGAACTTTGGGGTTAAACTGGGTATGGAATATGGACTTGGCGTTAGGGGCAAGTTAGCTGCCTTATTCTGTGGCCCATACCGAGTTGGGCCCATCTTCCGACCCATCAGGTCCAAAACCAGTATCTTTTTATTATCCCCTTTCCTTTTTTTCCTTGATTATTAAACGTCTCCGCAAATCGAATCCCCAAATCCTTCGCCGGCGATTCCACTCTCACTCTCGATCGGAAAAGCGCCGCAAAAGAGGAGTGGAAGCCCAAGGGGACAAGCAAAGCTAACTTCTCCTTCCTCCCATTCCTTCCTCATCCCGTCGTATCAGTACCAGCGAGAGAAGATTCGAAGCCGGTGGCAAAGATTGTGGCCGGTTGACCGGTGTTCTTCTCAGCCCATCATCATCCCATTGCACGCGGCGAGGCAGAGGAGTCCGCCGTCCGTCAACTCTATCCGATCGGCGTGGGGGCGCGGGGCGCCGACAACTTTGGTCCCCGCTCCCCACTTGGGCGCCGCCACCGGTCGCTGCGGATGCTGCGGGCGCCCGCGCCCACTGGTGGACCCCGGTAACGCCGCGCGGCGCCTCGCCCCGCGTGCCCGCCCGCGGTCAGCTCCATGCCGGCCGCTGCGGCTACATAGATAGGTAGCTGCGCGCTGGCTGAAGGCTCCCGCTGCAGTGCGGCGCGTTGAAGGCTTTCGCTCGCTGCGTGGGTTGCGCGTTTCCCTTGGCTGCTTGAGTTTCGGTCTGAGTTTGGATGGGCCAGATGGTGAGTGAGTTCGCTAGCATCTGCCGTGTTTTATCGTGTCGTTCGTGCCGTGTCGTCACGGCGTTGTTCTTGACCCACTGACCAGTCAGCAGCTCGTTCTGACGATGTGTTAATGATGAATCTGTGCAGGATTCGGATGATAAATTCGAAGAACAGGCAGCACGCGACGGTACATGTGCAGTCCATGCAAACTTTTCTTCTCCTTGCCTATTCATTCTCACGTGCTTGAAGCGTGAACTGCTAGTTTCCTGACCCCATCTAATTCGTTGTTTCGGCTCTTTGATCAAGTTTCTCATGGAAATGTGGTCATTGTGTTGTACTTCTTTTTCGCAGGTGGAATCATCAAGAATGGAAGGGAAATCCTATTCCAGGTGAGAATATGTCCAAGCTTATCTCTTGCTATCATGCTAAGGATGAAAGTGTGATTTATCTCTTGAAATAGGAGCTATTGCTATTACAGAAAGCTTATCTCTTGCTATCATGCTAAGGATCTATATTCAGTTGCCTAAGCACACATAAACGACCCATTTTAATATCAGCCTGTTCGCTTGGTCGTATTTGGCTTATAAGCAATGGCTTATCAGCTAATGAACATTATTTTTCTCTTACACCAAACCAGCCAACAGTACTTTCAGTCATGGCTTATAAGCCAAGCCCAAACGAACTGGGCGATAGAAAGTGTGATACTAATTTCTCAGCATTTGATAGATGATTCTAATATTTGTGACCTCTTGTTTTTGTGTCACCATAATCTACGTTTACCTTCATATGGGCCACTTACTAGGATTCTAGTTCAATGTAGGTGTGAGTGTTTCCTGCATGCTACAGCAACCTGGTTATGCTTTCTGTAATAACATCTAAAACGTAGATGGACGAACAAGCTTAAGGGGGTGTTTGGTTCCTCCTCCTAAACTTTAGTCGCTGTCCCATCAAATATTTGAACACATATATGGAGTATTAAATATAGACTAATTACGAAACTAATTGCACAGTTTGCGACTAATTTGCGAGACGAATCTTTTAAGCCTTACTAGTCCATGATTTGACAATGTGGTGCTAGAGTAAACGTGTGCTGATGACGGATTAGTTAGGCTTAATAAATTCGTCTCGTGGATTATTGACGGATTCTGTAATTTGTTTTTTTATTAGTATCCGAACACCCATGCGACACCCTCATGTGACACCTCCTAAATTTTAGTCACTGGATCCAAACACCCCCTAAGTTCTCTTGCGTATTTTTTCTGATATTGTTATGTGTTAGGCTTTTAACTGGGAATCCAATAAGAATAACTGGTGGAGTAATTTGGAGGAGAAAGTTACTGATCTTGCAGAATCTGGGTTTACGTCAGTGTGGCTTCCTCCACCAACACAATCATTATCTCGAGAAGGTAAGCTAAGCAACATCCTCTCTTACACGAAGCTTATTAGTTACAGAAGTCTGATGTGTTCTTTCACAGGCTATCTACCACAGAATCTGTACTGCCTTGACTCATGTTATGGTTCCCTCCATGAGCTAAAATTGTTGCTTCATAAAATGAGCGAACACAATGTAAGGGCTATGGCAGATGTTGTTATCAACCATCGAATTGGGACTACTAAAGGATCCAATGGCATGTATAATCGTTATGATGGCATCCCAATATCATGGGATGAACATGCTGTTACATCTTGTTCTGGTGGGAAGGTATTTGGATTGTCTTGTTTTAACCTTTTACTTGGGCACCGTATCTTGATGTATATTCTTTACTCTTGAGCCACTCATACTTCAATACAACTTTACTATCAGGGAAACAAGAGCACTGGGGATAACTTTGATGGGGTTCCCAACATAGATCATACACAACCATTTGTACGCAAAGATATTATTGAATGGTTGATCTGGCTTCGAAAATCTATTGGTTTTCAAGATTTTCGCTTTGATTTCACGAAAGGGTAAATAGTTAATGGCTTGATTAGTATCCACTATGAAAGAAAGAAATTTGTTGCCAACCTAATATCTTTCAGTGCTAGCTTGCTGATTTGTCAACCTTTTCTTTAGTGCAGTTACGCAGCCAAGTTCGTGAAAGAATACATTGAGGAATCAAAACCTCTTTTTGCAGTTGGGGAATACTGGGATAGTTGTGAATATAGCCCCCCTGACTACCGACTGAACTATAATCAAGGTAAGAGATTTATAGTAACATTCTTACTGGCTACTTGAGCTGGTGCCATGATTTTTGTCATAAGCACTCTCAGTTCAGTCCCCTGATTGGCAAACATGAATCGTGACTGGGTTAAATTTTAACTATTTCCACTATCTAAAATTTTTGCCTATATTTTAGTTATGTCAACTTTTTATTTACTATCCATTGCCATAGTTGCCTCTTCAAGACTTCAACTGCTCTGCTCTGCTCTGAGTCTGTTTAGAAGCTATGTAAGTTGTCCGACATGCCAGGGCTAATTTAGAGTTCCGAATTTAAGGCAGTTTATATGATTTCTTTTTTATATGCTTATGGATGACACTGACTGAAGTGTCAATTACATCCTCAAATATGAAGCATACTGTCTAGCCTTATTTTGATAATTCATGCTTGTGGTACTAAACCTATTGTTTTTTTTTTCTCTTTTTGTCTGGCAGATAGCCATAGGCAGAAAATTATTAATTGGATAGATAGCACTGGAGGACTTTGTGCTGCATTTGATTTCACGACAAAGGGTATTCTTCAGGTCAGTAATGAATTACTACTGGATGAGCAAATATTTGTCTTAAGTGATCTTTTTGAGCAGTTAATGTTTAAATCAGGAAGCTGTCAAAGGAGAGTTGTGGCGTTTGCGAGACCCAGAAGGAAAACCACCTGGTGTGATGGGATGGTGGCCTTCAAGATCAGTTACATTTATTGAAAACCATGACACTGGATCCACTCAGGTATAATAGTCAAATTGTCACCCTTCTTTGTCTGAGACCACGTAGCTGTGTTAATGAGCTGGAATGTTCACCTTTTAGATTTGCTAACAGAATCACAATTTCAGGGTCATTGGCCTTTTCCATCAGATCATATTATGGAGGTACTATACTTTATTGACTTTGTAGTTATAAATAATTTTTTCATAGCCTTAGTTTCATCAGAATCCTATAACATGTACTATCTAATTATTTTACAGAAATATTGCTGTTATGATCTTAGAAAACTTAATTTCTTTGTAACGACTGTAGCACCTTATAACACTTAATACAAATCGTTTGTTTTTAGTCTAGCTTGCTGTTTTTTTTTTCTAGAAGTCCAATTGTTGATCTGACATATGTAAAATCTTTAGGGATATGCTTATATACTCACCCACCCTGGCATCCCCACAGTGTTCTATGATCACTTCTATGACCAGGGAGTGCCTCTCCATGACGAAATTGCTAAACTGGTATGCAGATTGTACCTCTGTACTCGATTCATCCTTTCCTGAGCTGCCTTTTTTTTTTTGTAAAAATACAGTAGGACCCCTGGTAATTCATTAAAAGAAGAAAAGAGAAAATTGTAAAATTAAAGGAGGGAAACTACACAGCTAATGATGGTCCCCAAATATAATGATGCTGCGTTTCTTAAGTTTTGAATGCTTTTTACCCAGATGCAAATCAGAAAATGCCAAGATATACATAGCCGTTCATCAATCAAAATTCTGGAGGTTAGGTCAGATCTGTACTCAGCAATCATCGACGATAAGTTGTGCATGAAGATCGGGGACGGCTCGTGGTGCCCAAGTGATCCAGAGTGGAGGTTGGCAGCCTCTGGCGACAGATATGCTGTATGGCACAAGTGAAGCATATAAGTGGCTCCGTTACAGCTTTTATCTCTGCTCTCAGGAACAGGAGTAATTAGCATGTTAACTGACGAACAGCACGGTAAAACGTGCCAAACATGACGCACTTCGAGGTTACCTGTACAACTGGAGTGTCTGGTGTGTGTCACGGTAGAGGGTAAATGTGATGTTAATTAGAAATAAAATTGAGATAGTACGGCTGGCCCCGAGATGAGATATACATTCTGCTAATTGCAGCAACTAGGGATTAGCTGCAAAAGAAATATGTGTAGGGTATGTGATGTCTATGTGGATTATTTTATCCTGGAACTAGAAATTTAAATTGTTTTATCAAAAAATACAGGCCCTTGGAGTTTCTACTTTACAAATGCCTGCTTGTTTACACGCTATACATAAGCATAATCCTGAGTCCTGACGAGCTGTGTGAGCCTGTGACAATAGTCAAATACAGTCTGTATAAACTACAGTAATCTTCTTGTGCAAGTGCAAGTGCAACTTGATAATATTCACAAACCTACCAATATCCGTAGAGAAGAAAAAACCCAAAGGTACCTGTTAGCGGACCCCTCCAAGGCCCTGCTCCTCCCCAAGACAGTGAAGACGCTGGAAGCAGTGACAACAGTGGAAGGATCTGTCAAGCCCAACACTCGCGTGTGTGGCCCTGCGTGGCAGACAGCGTGACTATTAGAGCTCTGGCGTGTGTTGAGAGGGGTATGAAATTTGTAAACGCTATCTCCAACTACTCAAATCTTGTCCTCCGACAGGTCCCCTTACTTCCCCTCTTCCAAGCCCTTCCATCCGATTGCTCTTGCTACAATTGGTATCGGATTTACCGGACCTGGATCCTACCCCTCCCCACGAGCACTTCACCAGACTCCAGCACCGTCACAAAGTCATGGATCCCAACATGAAGCTCAACCTTGACGAATTCACGCGCCGCCTTGATGAACACGACGACAAGTGGGAGCGCCGCTTCGCAGACCTCGACTGCGCATCCCGTGATGCCGCCGTCGACAGGCGCCTCAGCTCCTTGGAGTCCGTCTGCGCCAATCTGGAGTCTCTGCGTGTCGCCCATGCCGATGTCGAATGCGACGACCGTGTCGCCGCCTGCCCTGGAGGCTGCTGCCACCTATCTCGGTACCTAGCACCCAGGAGTGGAGGCGATCGTTGACGATCTTTGGCTGGAGGTCCAAAAGATCTTGAAGCATTGGGACCGCGCGGTGTTTGACGCTTCATCGCACCAGCCTAGCATCATCCCGTCCTCGACGTCGGCGGCAGTGCGCCCACCAACCGGAATCATCACCGACAGGCCCAACAGGCACCGCGTTGCAACTTCTCCCCAAGATCATGGGTCCGGAGTCATCACAACTTGGACCGTCAAGGGTACGTGTCCTGATCCCTCCTCTAGGTTGCACACCAATACCACAAATTTGTGTCGACCGCCGCCTATCATCCTCCTGCTGCATCCTCTTTCCGTCAACAAATCAAACTTTTGACATAGTGCCACCACCGACTTTTAGCTGAAGTGTTGAACCAACTTGATCATGATGATCGTATAAAACCCGTGCCCAGCCTCTCGCCCTCCTGTCAGTTGCTTTTCCTCTACTCACAAGCGAGTTGTTGCTCGGCTAATTTTGCCTCCATGTCACAAAGGCAAAAACCCATTCGGCACCTCGACTCTAACTTGTTTGGGTGGAGGGCAAAGTATTGTGTGTTTGTAATCCTTCTGCAGTGGGACTTGCATTAAGCATCGGCAGGCACATTGCCCACTAGCCGTCATCTACCTCACTATCTCACTATGGTAAGTATGTTGTTTTTTTCTTCATGCAGGGACAAAACTAGAAGGGGGGGGGGGGGCTCAAGCCCCCCTATCGCCACTGATCCCATGGTGAAAAACCTTAGTGAGGTGAAAAAACCTTAGCTAGCTTGGAGCCATGAATAAGCCATTAAAATTATTATAGTTAATGCCTAATCTATTTTAATTACATCGAGTTGGTGGTGGCTCGAGGAGGGCACAGGCAGAAGTACTAGTTGAACTTGCTCGTTCGTACAACTTGAGACATCGTTGAGACCATTTCAGTACGATGTCAAGAGGCCTTCTGCCCACACCACCACCACCCTGTGGGACACCAGAGGTCATCCCGATCATATATTTCTCATACGGCATGCAGATCGTGGATGTGTGTGCAACCACTTCCACATGGGGGCATGTGCCCTTAAGGGTAAAATAACATTACCTAATGTAGCCGTCGCAAGCATACAGGTTAAGGTTCTCTCCTTCCGCTTTTGTCAAAACCTTTATTTTCATGCACCTATTTTCATGTTAAGCGCCAATCATGAAATGGTTTTGGGGGTCAAAGGTTCTTCATCATCCATCCGAGCCCAGGTAGTGCTGTATCGGTGGTGCAGATCTGCGTAACCAACATGCAACACGCAAAACAACACTGTGTTCTGCACACTGAGATGCAAACATGTTGCCTAACTTCATCTTTGGCGAGTAGACGCAAATGTTGTTCTGCATCATAGTAATAAGTTCAGTGATTCAAAGTGATAATAGTAAGTAATAGACGTGTTGTATGTTTCATCACAGGCAAGTAGGAGTCTGGTTGATCTACAACTGCAAGTAGTAGTAACAACATTAGCGGATGATTGAAATTTTTTCCTTAAGGGCAACTGACACATGTGATGTTTGTGCAACCACATCCACGTTGTACACACAAATGGTAGTAGTATGGAAAAAAAACTTAGAAATATGGGTGTGTACTTTATGTATATATACAAATGGATGGACTTAGATTGTGATGGAGTTTTGTATATACATGCTCTTACATACATACTCATATATACACATTATACTTATGTAAATAAATGATTATTGAATTTTGGTCTGCCATGTTGTATACACAAATTTAATTTGGATTAGTTTTTAGATCAACCCAACCTGATAGAGTCATGATGACACTAATAATGACAAACAACCTGATTGGCTGTGTCCAGTGGCTGCTGCAGCCTGCAGTCGTCTTTTTTTTAGGGAAACAGGAGGGGGTGCACCCCCTACTATGCTTTTATTGAAATTTAAAGACTGTTCTTACAAACTGAGTTCAAGAAACAAAGAACGTTACAAAGAAAATCAATAAAATTAACATATACATCTAGCCATTGAGTCAACAAAGGTGCTAAGCTGTTCTTTGCTCTATGAATAACTTGAGCAAATTCACGTTTGAAGATGACCTTGCAATGCTGAATTGTAGGATGCACTTGTCTGAAGATGGCATCATTTCTAACAGACCATACTGACAAGCTCATGGTGACAATGATCTGCATAAAGAAAGGAAGCTGCAGTTGATTCTTGAATGAAGTCAGGGTGCCAAAGGGATATGAGGGTTAGTGAATTGAGAGACAAGAGTTGCCCAGCAGGATTGGGAGAAAGGGCATGCTAAGATCAAATGAACTAGAGACTCTTCCAAAGCCTAATTGTCGTTTTTTTAATGTCGCCTGCAGTCGTTGTGGCAACCAGGAGCGAGCAGAGCCAAAATCCGCAGCTCGCTCGCTCGCTAACCCAAAGGAGTATTTGTGCTTGTGTTGAACAAAAATTAACTGGCCACTTGTCTTGGGGACCACACGCCACCTCGGTCAGATTCATTTCTCATTCTTTTTAATAAGGCCAGTCTCAATGGGAGTTTCATGCGCATTACATAAGCTGATGTGGCATAATTTAAATAAAGAGAGAGGTGAAAATAGTTTCAGAGGATGAAATGAGTCTTGGAAACAGAGCCATGAAACTCCCATTGAAACTGGCCCGAGAATAGTTTCACCTCTAGTTATGCACTACCCAATCCTAAGAACTGGCACCATGCGCGGCCCGCCAATCGGCTGCTCATCCACAGCTCATATCGTGTATGAAGGCAGGAGTAGCCATGCACATGGAGAAGCCAGAGAAAGAGCATGCGGCCAACGAACATTCTATATGCTGTCTATAGGTAATTATGAAAGATGAGCCAAGAAAGAATTTGTATTTTGGCTACAAATAAGCACACTCATGTCGAGCTGTGACAACAGTGAACCAGTGGCCAATCTAGCTTGAGAAATGACCTAGGGCGGACTTATACTCTAAAATTTTGGCTACCAATGACTACTTACATGCTTTGGGCAAAAATTATAGAACAACCAACGAGAATCAAGATGTTGCCTTTTAATAATGGAATTATCAATAATAGATGTTTCAATAGACAAATGAAGTACAGAACCTGTCACAAGTCAATTTAGAAAATGACATTTTAATAATAAAAGCATTGAAGAATGTAAAAATAACATCTAGACATACCTTTCCTAAAACACTAACAACATCGAGGCTGCTTTGGGGAGGTGGTAAACTCATCTTCCTATCTTCCATAGATTGGAAAGTCTTCTTAATTTTCTCAGGATCAAGTCCGGTAAAAATCTCCTTCTCAATGTCGACAAAATCAAGTCATTAAGCCACTCATAGCTCATTCTATTGCACAAATCAGTCTTGATTATTAATTTTCTAAGGAACTGGAGTCTGTCTAATCATGGTGGCACTGTTTGAACGAACCTCCAGCTTCATCTCCTTTTGTTTGCCTCTGTTTAGTAGGGCTGAAAAACAACTTTGCGAAGCTCTCCAGAATCCCTATCAAACAAGGGCGAAGTATATGCTCACAAACTTAAAGACGACCTCCTTCCCTCGCAAGGAGGACATTCTAAGTCCTTGAAAAACTCGGAGACCTCATTCGGACTTTCGATCTACCGATTCCTCCTACCTTGAATCTCTTAGCTTACACACCCCCATTGTAAGTCCTCAAAGCACTTGAACCGAGGAATACGAACTCGCTACCCTCTCTGAGACTGGACGTAGGGCTCCGACCTAAATCAGTATAATTTCCTTGTGTCTTGAGTGCTACCATCGTCTTCCTAGAGCAGCACGACACTCGGAAATTTACTCGTCGGTTTACGAAACACTGACATCTAGACTCTGTGTCTTA